AGTCGTGTCCAATCAAAGCTGCGGCCACAAGTTGCACTGGGGCAAATCTGAGCAGCGGAGAGTTGAACACCGCGCGCAGATCAGCATTCAGCCTGGCAGGGCCAAGCCCAGGAGACGACCTGTTCCTCGTTTTCGGCAGAGACTTCTCCAGAACGTCTGAGACACTGACGTCTTCACGGCGACCGCCCTGAAGAGAGCATGCCCCAAACGGTCAGCAGCGTCGATGACCAGAGAGGCAGTTACAGCAAATTCCATCGCGAAGTATAACTTGTGCACGCGGCGATGCTCGGCTTCAGCGGACCATTGTGCTTTTCGCGGACACTAGTCGGAACCTCGTGGCGTCTTACTGTGCATCGGCACGGCCGTCTTTTGATTTTCCCGCCCGCTGGGGGGGGGCGCACGCCGCGGAGATCGCGCGCGGCGTCGGGGGGGAGCGCCCTCGAGGGGAGGCTGCGAAGCGCTGCTCCGAAACGAGCTGCACCGTTCGCGGCGTGATCGGGAAGAAGTTGTGTCGAGTGTCTCCAGAGTGTCGGAGTACGTGCAGCACGCGTTTGGCTTCAGGACCATAGTCGCATCATGTTCTCGAAAGCGGTGCTCTGGCGAGATCGCTTCAACGTCAAGCGCTGCCTCAGCACTTTCACCTCGTGGGACCTCGCCAAGAAGAACACTGATGAGCTAAAAGAACTGGCCCAAATGCCGTCTCTCCAGGCTCATCTGGGCCCATGGGGTCTCGCTCAGCGACATCAGCAGGCCACAGTCGCCAAGCAGACTCGATCAGCGTGGCGGTCGTGGGCTCATGCGCATCGGCTGAAGCCGCGTGGTTTCCGAATGGCAGTAGGCATCTTCAAGGCCGTGTTACTCGAGACCAGGTTCCTTGTTGTCCAGATAGGTGGAGCGAACAAGGAATTCAAGTTCGACGTGTTGGAGAGCATGGATGGGTTCCTCCGGATGATCGTGGTCCTTGCAAAGCTTGGACAATACGGACGGAGGAGCTCGTGGCCCATTGTTTGCATGCTCTCGCTGCTGACGAGATGTGGGAATTCAAACCTAACCTTGACACCAATATCGTGCTACCCTGGCGTTTCGGCCGAGCGCAAGCGTGCTCTCCTGATTGGCCGCTGGGGAGCCCTCGAGCAGCGTGCAGGAGTCTGTCACCGCCAGTGCTTTTCGGTGGTGTATAAAAACAAGTTTTAGTGACGATGGTATCAAAAGATGCCAGAAACCAAATCACTCCCGCTTGAGACGGATCCTTTATATGGCAGAAATACCGTGCCCTCGGGTGCATGGAAGCGGGCAGCACGTGCGGCTCGGGAAGTCGTCCAAGCCTCTGGTTGCACGCGAGAAACCTTCAGGATGGAATCAGCCGTGCCGATTCTCATTTTTTGGAAGAGAAGAAGCGGCAACAGCAGGATAATGCCAATCCCGGCGACGCCACAGTGAAGCCACTGAGCTACCTCCAACGCTGTGCCACAGTGCGCACGAGTGAAACAAAGGCAAAAAATTATCTGCCAAATGTTCTGAAACGTATCTGGCTCAAGCGAATGACCGGAGCCGAACGTGTCCCGGCCGCGTGGCCGATAAGCGTTGCGCAGCTGGCTGAACACAGAAGGCAACAAAAACAGCATTGGCCAGGGACTCGGGCTGGACGAAGGAGGAGGAGACAGGAGGGAACAGCCGGAGGGAGGGAGGGAGAAAGACAGCACAAACAGAGCCAACACTAAGCGCCAAGCCGCGGCGGCTGCTAGGGATTACCCTACAGCATATACGCCGGTCAGTCACGAACATTTTTTCCTTGGGGCTCGAGCGATAGCCTGTGCGACACGTGCCGCTTGCACGCCGCATAATCCTCGAGCGGATAAGTCGTATGCTTGAGGTGATCCAAACAGGGGCGGAGGAGACGGCCAAGAGGGAGAGGAGGGAGGATCGAAGAAGAGCTCGCGCGTGCGCAAAACGTGTTCGCACAGGGTCCCACACGAGTGAGCAAGAAATGGTTTGGAGGGGCGTGCACGGCAATGCCTGCCCGAACCCTGCCGAGCAGGGGCGGGAAGGACAGGGCGCGCACGCCGTTAGGCTGGGCGGCCTACAAAAAACAGCAAAATGAAAGAGAGGCGGCGAGAGGAGAGGATGGGAACAAGGGGGAGGCGCAGGGCGCTGGCCGCCAAGGGAACTCGTGGAGTTCGGCACCTGGCGCCGCCCTGGCGTTGCGGCGACAGTGGCTCTGAGACCACGTCGATCTCGTCGTCCATTGGTCCAATGCAGGTGCCGTGGCAAAGATGCGCACGGCCTGGCAATTCCAGTGCTGATATCGACCAAGCTTCTGAAGAAAGCCGCGCGGAACGAATCACTCCACCACGGCGGAGGCTCACGCGAGAATTTCAGGACATGACGGGCTGCAGTGCTATATACGTTTAGAATGGGATTACATGCGTGCTCCGTACTCCTACAGGCGCGGCCTCGTCCCAGAGCTGGCGGGTCTTCACGTCGGCAATTCTCGCCTCGCTGGCATCCTTCAGGCCGCCACGCTGTTCAACATTATCACGTTTACCGACCAAGTGACAGTTGTTGGGGATCTCGATTGGTGGAGTCATGTCAGCTGCAGCTGTCTCGGTACGAAGGAGATGAGGAAGCACGAATGACACTGCAGGAAGGTCAGTTGCCAGGTTTTATTCATGTCAGGTCTTCTGACGAGCTGCTTAGGAGCGTGTGTTGGTTGAGATGTGGATAAATTGTTTGCTATACCGCGGCAGTTCTGCAGCTGATGCCTCGAGCGTGTTTTTCGCAACGTCTGCTGCGAAGTGCTTTCTGTGTTTTTCTCCAGTGATGGGGCTGCGCGGCCAGCTATTTTCGAAGGCTTGGTCCCGAGATCCATGTACACCACCAGCATGTCTTGGACTCAGAAAATCAAAATCGATCCTGGGTTCTGGACGGGGGGAAACCATTAAAGAGTAGCATCATGCCCTGGATGGGTATCTGACCGATTTCTTTCTACAAAGTACGGGGCCAACTGATGGGAAGGATCGCCTGGGGGTTTTCCCAACACCTCTCCCACGCGTTGTCGTTTTCATAATCATGGATTTTCTATTGGAACCGAGAAAACATGGGTACCATCTAGCACACATCGAATCCGTCATCCTCAGCATCGCGCCTGTTCCTCCAGTCATTTGGGCTCGAACGCCAATCCGATCCCTGGTGTACCACGGTATCGCTGTGGGGAAATTGCAGGTCAGTGGCGCCGCGGGCTCGGGCCACAAGTCTGGGCAGCGGAAAGGAGCACAATCACGAGCAGGCGCTTGGAACTACGAGTGGCTTCGAAAGTTCCCGCCGCCGCCGCCCATGGCCGAGGCGAAGACGGAGAAAAGGAAGAAGGAGAAGAAGAACATAAGAGAATAATAATAACATAAGAGAATAATAAGAAGGATAATAATAACATAAGAGAAGAAGGAGAAGGAGAAGAAGAACATAAGAGAAGAAGGAGGGGAAAAAGAACATAAGAGAAGAAAAAGAAACGCCCATGGCCGGAGCGGAATGTGGCAACGGCGCCCAGCTCACGAGCGGGACCGGTGACGAGCTCGTCCGCACATGCGAGGGCAAGCGGGGCCAGAGCCCGAAGATCGTTGAGGAATAGGATGGCAGGACGGCATGCTCAAGGCGTGCGGGGAGAACCAGGCAGTTCCGCAGCCTAAGAAAGGCCGCATCAGAGTGCGCTTCGACGTCGTGCGGAAGCTAATCTGAATCATGTTGTTTCCAATGGTGGGCGTTGTGCGCATGCCCGCGATCATCCTTCTCGGGTTCATCGTTGTCTTCGTCTGGATCGAATACCACATTGCTCTCTAGGATAATGGGTTGCGATAAAATCAATATTGATTTCGGGGTATTGCCGCCGTTGTATCCATTGCCAGCCAGAAGTGCTTCAATGTAGGTTTCGGTTTTCCTGCGCGTCCAGAACCTGCCCCAGGTGGAGTCTCTGCCTTGATCTCTGAGCATTTCCCACACTTGGCTTGCATCTTGTCAGAGCGTACGTTGAGATCTAGCAGTCCACCAAGCGTTGGGCGCCGCATGGAGCCGCCCTGGCGTTACGGCGAAATCGGTCCCGAAATTTCTAGACAGTCTGACAGCACGGGTAGGTCCGCAAGCAGCGGGGGCATAGAGACTACAGTCGCCGGCCTTGTGCGCCAAGTCTTGCACAGCAGCTCCCACGGAGGGCCATCATCTCGATATATACCGCAGCAGAGATTGCAAAAGGCTTCGCGAGCGCGAGGACGTTCATTCTCGTGGAGTTGGCCCCAAAGCGAGGGCTGTTCATGCTACAGATGGTCTGACGTGTTGCCACCGCTGATAATCATCGTCCTACCCCTCCTCCTCATCATCAACTTCAACATATTCTTCATATTCATCCTCATCATCATCCTCATCATCATCCTCATCATCATTATCATCGTCGTCAGCAGCATCATCATCACCATCACCACCACCACCGCCACCACCATCAACATCATCATCATCATCATCATCATCATCATCATCATCATCATCATCAGCATCACCGTCATAATCAGTATCAGCATCATCATCATCAGCATCATCAGCAGCAGCACCATCATCATCAGCAGCATCATGATCATAATCATCCTCGCCATCGTCGTCGTTGTCACCCCCATCATCTGCATCACGGCTCTCCAAAGCCTGGAGAAACGAGGTGTCACACATGACGGCCTGCCGTGCCCCCTCGAACAGTCGCCACCCAGAATGCTGGACAGACACGGTGGCGGGACTCGCCGCAGGCAGCTGGCTATATATAATAATAATACTACTACTACTACTACTAATAATAATACTAATAAGAATACTACTAATAATAATAACACTAATAATAATGCTAATAATAATAATGAACATGTGCCCCCTCTCTCTATCGCTTTATGTTGTTCTCTCTCTCTCTCGTCCTCCCCCTCTATCTCTCTTCTCTACCTCGCTCTCTTCTCTCTGCTGATGCTCCGCGCCTGGTGCGGTTGTGATACTTGCGCTTCTCCTCGGGGTCGAAGCCTGCCTCCTCCGAGCCGTACAAGGCCCAATCTGGCGTGGGTGCGCAGTAGTCCATGGCTGGGAGACTCCCAGTGCACCCAGCCCTACTGTACCCATCCTCTCCTCCTCCCCTCTCTCCTCCTCCCCCCTCCTCTCGTCCACACAAGCGTATCCAAAATGTCCATAAGGTCGATGCAAACATGGGAGAGAGAGAGAGAGATAAAAAACATAGAGAGAGAGAGAGAGAATTGGAGAAGATGGATAAACAGTAGAGGGAAGGAGCGATATAGGTAATCAGGAGCAGTGGAAGGAGAGGGAGGAGGAAGAGGGAGGACAGAAGACAAGAAGGTGGGAGGAAGCGGGGAGGGCGGGGAAGGGGGGAAGGCGGAAAGGCGAATGGAGAAAGGAGGGGATGACTGATGCGGAGGTCGAGGGGGCAACACTGGGGCGCAACAAGAGTCTCCCGATGGCATTGAACTCCCTCCCCGAATTCACGAGCTCGTGATAGCGGTCGTAGTCAATCCAGGTATGCCACTGGCCGTCTATCTTGAACCTACAAAACGGGGGGATGAGGATAAGCAGAAGAAACTGGGGAGGACGAGGAAGAGAGGAGATGAGGAGGAGCAGCACCATCAGCATGATGATCAGGTCGAGCAGGCGGAGGCGGCGGAGGCGGCGGTGGACGGGACAGAGGAACAGGAGGTGGACGCGCGAGAAGGGAGGAGAAAGCGATGGGACTTGAGATGGGCAAGTGGCGGGATGAGGGAAGAAAGCGGAGAAGAGAGGAGAAGGTGCGGGCGGTTGGAGAGCGAAGGAGCGAGTGAGAAGGCTGGGAGATGGGAGGGAGGGAGGAGACGGAAGGAACGGAGGACGACGAGGCGGTACCAGCCTTTGTGAACCTGTGTGGTGGTGATCTACGTATGTTTCCACCCACACTCCCCATGCGATCCCCTGTCAGAGGGGTCCCGACCTCGCATGTCATGTTCTTCCCCCGGAGCACTTTTTGTGCGCCAGCAGCACGATGCAGCTGTGCTGGTGCTCGCAGGCGAGCTCGTAATCCTCGCTAAGTCCTTCATGAGACAAGATGGACTCCGCGAACTCCTTGACCTCTACGTGCCACGGCGTATTCGACATCGTCAGAGTCGAGGCCTTGGACGTGCCGCAGAACGTCACCGACTTGATCTCCACGAGGTCGGGCTTGCCGAGCGCAAACAAGCGGGCATACTCACCCGCATCCGACATGTTCTCACCCTTAACGGGAGCGGCCAAGAGGGGGGTGTCCAAGAGGGGGGGGTGCAAATCATGACCGGCGGCATGTGCGCGGCCCAGCGGGGGGGCCTGGGACGTAATGAAATAAGAAGAGGCGCCATGAAATCTGAGGACAAATCATGGCCCGCGCCATGAAATCCACCCCCCCCTAGTCATCACCCCCCTCTTTTCCGCTCCCGACCTTGACGAGAGTTAGTCGGTACACCGTCCGCTGTTTCCTTTCTGCCAACGCCCTCAAAGAATCGAGGTACCGCTCCCAAAAGTCCTGGTGCAGCGGCCTGTCGACCGCCTTGAGGGCCTCGGGCGTCGCTGCGTCGATACTCACATACAGCTGGGTGACGGGACAGAGGTTCCGGATCGCCTCGGGAAATTGCGCGTTCGTCACCAGGAACGTGCTGATGTGCCGGCGGTGCAAATCGGTAAGGAGCTCGTTGATGCGAGGATACATGATCGGCTCGCCAACCAGCGAAAGGGCGCAGTGGCGAACAGTCATTGCATCATCGAACCTGTCCTTCTTGACGCCCGGGATCCCCTTGCACTCTTTGATCATTTTCTGGTGCAGCTCAATACCCTCAGCGACTATCCTCTCGGGCTCGTCCATGCGCCACTTCCACTCGGTCGCCACCGGGTTCTTGTGATGCCGCCAACAGAAGGTGCACTTGTTCGCGCATGCGAGCGAAGGCGTCGCCTCCATGCACTGGTAGGACGTAATCCGCCACCGTGCCGCTGGGCACGGACTTGGCGTGCCCTCAAGTACTTTGCCCAATCCCCTCTAAGTCTCAGTCGTCACTCCTGCAGAGTCCTTAAGGAGTTCGGAGCCCCTCGGCCCAAATCTCAAGATGGGCCCAAGAGGCCTCCAAGCCGCCCAAAGAGGCCTCCAAGAGGCCTCCCAAGAGAGCTCCTTGTTCCTTGTTCCTCTCCAGGGGGCCCCAAGAGGCCAAAATCATTGGTGTTCCTTTGGTGTTTGAAGGACTTTGGCGTTCTCTCCTTTTCGGCTTCCCGACGCTCCCAGGCGGCCCTAGAGGCCCCCAAGACCACCTCAAGAGGCCTCCAAGAGGGCCCCCAAACGGCCCAAGAAGGCTCCAAGACAGCCCAAGAAGCGCCCAAAACGGCCCCAAGACGGCCTAAAGGGGCCCAAAAGAGGGACCACGAACCGAAAATCCGAGCCTTCCGCCCCAAGAGACTCCCAGGAGGCCCCAAGCGCCCAGGAGGCCCCACGAGGCCCCCAAGAGGCCCCAAGAGGCCCAAAAGAGGCCTCAAGAGGGCCACAATCGGCCCCCAAGAGGCGTCCAAACTGCCTCCGAGAGGCCCCCGAGAAGCCCCCCACGAGACCCCAACGAACATCATATAGGCCCCGCACCATTTAATTAGGCACGGTGGCGGGATGGGCCGAAGGCGATTAGATGCCATAGAACGAATGCTTATAGCAACCTCCTTGACCACGGAGCTGATGCTTAGTCCATCTGCAGAGCTTCACCGCGGAGTGCGAGCCGATGATCTTGTAGCCCTCCTGCCGAAAAAGCAATCCTCATACTAAGCACCCCGACAAGCAAAGCTCCTTAGTAAACGCACCAAAGGAGGAATCGAACAGGGCAGGGCTGTTTAGTCAACGCCCAGGGCCGTGTAGCAAACGCCAATTCTGGGGGTCGGGGTGGTTTTCCTCCCCCGAGTCCTTTGTCAGCTGGGCCCTGTGCTTAGTCGTCAGCATTTCCTTCGGTTCTGCTGCCGTCTTTCGGGACGCCACGACGTCTCCCGCGCAGCCTTGGTCCATGTCCTCCAAATCCTCAGCCACGTTCTTCTTACTGCCAGAACCCACCGTGGTGCTTGTGCCGGAGGAGTCGGACTCCGAGCCGCTGTCCTCGTCAGCCGGCCCTGCGGTCAGGGGCGTGAGCGCGGTCGCAGGCGCGCCAGGAGCCACACTGACGGCGGTGCCATCGGCTAACCTGAAGACCAAGGTCTTGAGTTGAGAGCACCACGGCTCCACCTGCGCGCCCGGCTCCTGCGTGTCCGTGACCCGGACCAGCGGCAGGAGGCGCAGGGCACCCATGGCGGCCAGAGCGGCGTCGGCTCGCGACGCTGCCGTGCAGAAGTGCCCCGCGGGCTCGTACTCGTCGCTGCCGAAGCCAGCCACGGCGAAGTGGTGGTGCGCCATCGCGGCCGCGCCGACCCGAAAGTCGAGGGCGTGATCCTCGAGCAGCTGCAGGAAGTGCGCGCAGCGCGGGGGCGCCTCGCCGTCCGTGTGCGTGGACAGGAGCACGACCACCACGCTCGGGCGAGCGGCGGCGCCACGCCGCGGCGCCTGCAGCAGCGCGTCGAAGAGAAAGTCGGCCAGGTCCTCCACGACGACCTCCGCGGGGGCCACGCCTCCAAGCTCCTCGGCCTGGTGGGCCAGCTCGCTCGCCAAGCGCCTGGCCCACTTCTCCGAGGTGCCCGTGGTGGAGCCGTACAAGATCCGCACCGTCGCGCCCGGTCTGGTCACCTCTTTGAGCAGGGACCCACCGTCCCGGCATTCCTACAGGCCTACCACGAATTTTTCTTAGAACCCAAAAATGCCTAAAAGCAACAACAACGTTCTTAGAACGTATTCCCGGTGCGCTAAAAAAAGACAGTCCCAGCCAGAAGTGCTCTAAGAACATTTCGTGGAAACCATAACAGGTGCTTAGAACATTGTTTGGTAGGCCTACAGGCACGCCAGGACGCTTCGCCACTGCTTGACCCCTGTCGACGGCCCATCGCGCCGCCGCCGCAGCCTGTACACTCCATACCCAGCCGCGGCAACGGCGGCCAGGGACGCCCCAGCAATCGCGGCACCTGCCAGCCGCGGCCGGGGGGCGGCCAGCATGTCGCCCGCCCTTCGCCGCCGAGCGGAGCAGGCGGGCCAGGCAAGGCAGGGCAACGGCGCGCCCGATCGCTGCACCCCTCCGTGAGCCAGAGGGGCTGTGGGTCACGCTCGTCCCATCCGCAGCCAGACTCCGCTCCGTCTGACACGCACCACTCCCACGCACCATTCTGACCAGTCCTGGGACGGGTCCACTCCACTCAGAGGGTCCATCTGCCCTCGACGTGGTTACAAGATGGCTCGAAGATGGCTCCAGGTAACCATGGTGGATTCCAAGATGGCGCGAGGTAACGTAAGCTGGGCCAGCGTGGCGTCCGACGTTTCTTCAGGAGGCCGTAAGATGACTCCATGCCGGCTCAGAAGGGCCTCGAAGCTTTCGAAGCACCCCATGGCTCCTGAGCACAAACGCGTCAAGAACGAATCGGTCTTCAAAATGCTTTTGAAATTCTGGAGCACCCCGACATGCCCCCCCTGTAGCGCCGAAGCGCACTGCGAGATACCTAGGTGCCCCAGGCGGGCTCCGAAAAAAGCCCAAAGGGGATGCTGTCCAACCTCCTGCGGCGGCGACGATAAGGGCGAATAGCCCAGGGGCGGGCATTACACGCATTCGCCCGGGAGCCTTGCCGAAGACATAGATCATCGGCACCCCTGGATACATGTATTGCTCCCCCCTGGGATATTCGCCCCGATCGTCGCCTCCGACTCCTACAGGGATGAGCGAATTGAGAACCTCCTCCCGCTTTCATCGATCGCCTCCTGGATCGGCCCAGGAGCACCCGAGGGCCCGGAGGAGAGCGCCAGGAGACTCGCCCGAATGCGACCACATGAAACGACGGCATTCACGGCTGGCTCCTGGTTTCTTCGCGCATTCCCGCTGCCACGAACCACGCAGGACTCAAGCATAAAAAGACTGCGCGGCAACCAAGCGGAATGTTCCTCGGCTTACCGAACAGGTACTGGTCAAGAGAACTCGCCCAGAAATCCGCCGACCCCTTGTGGGTCTCTAGGCGTGTGAGATAGTCCCCCCCCCATAATCCCCCCCCAGGGACCCCAAACCGGAGATTTGACCCCCCCCCCCCGGGCCCAGCACGAGCGCGCCACGGGGCTCTTTTGGGCCCAAAAGGGGATCAAGACGGGCCCAGAAGGCCCCAAGAGGCCTCCAAGACGGCTCACGAGGGCCCCGAGACGCCAAACGAGCGCTCCCAGACGCCCAAGATGGCCCCAAGACGAGCCTAGAGGCCTCCAAGACGGCCCAAGAGGTCCCCACGAGGCCCCAAGAGGCCTCCAAGATGCGTCCCAAGAGGGTCCCTAGACGCAAAAATTGGCCCATTCCCTTCGTAAAACGTATAATTTTAACAAATTTGCTTTCTGGGCTTTCCGACGCTCCAAGACGGCCCAAGAGGCCCCGAAGACCGCCCCAAGACGGCCCAAGAAACCTCCAAGAGGGTCCCAAGATAGCCCAAGAGGGCCCCAAGACGGCCCAACAAGCGTCCAAAACGGCCCAACAGGGCCCCGAAAAGGGCCCGAAGAGCGCTCCAGGAGCGCCCCAAGTGGCCTCCAAGAGAGCTCAATATGGTCCCAGACAGCCCAAGAGCGATCAAAGACACCGAAGATGGCCTCCTGACGGCCCAAGATGCCCCCAAGAGGCCCCAAGAGGCATCCAAGATGCGTCCCAAGAGGGCCTCTAGACGCAAAAATTAGCCCGCTCCCTTCGTAAAACCTGCGTTTTTCACAAATTCGCCTTTTGGGTTTTCCGACGCTCCCAGACGGCCCAAGAGGCCCCCAAAACCGCCCCAAGACGGCCCAAGAAGCCTCCAAGAGGGCCCCAAAACAGCCCAAGAAGGCGCTAAGACGGCTCGAGAGGCGCCGAAGACGGCCCAAGAGAGCCCCGAAGACGGCCCCAAGAGCGCTCCAAGTGGCGCCAAGAGAGCTCAACATGGTCCCGCACGGTCCAAGAGCGATCGAAGACACCCGAAATGGCCTCCAGATGGCCCAACACGCCCCTGAGAGGCCCCCAAGATGCGTCCCAAGACGGTCCCTGGACGCAGACATGTATTTATTCCCGTCGTCAAACGTACAATGTTCACACATCCGCCTTCTGGGCTTTCCGACGCTCCTAGACGGCCCACGAGGCCCCGAAAACCGCCCCAAGACGGCCCAAGAGGCCCCCAAGACGGCCCCGCGACGGTCCAATATGGCCCCAAGACGGCCCAAGAGGTCCCCAAAACGGCCCAAGAACGCTCCAAAACGGCACCAAAAGGGGCCCAAGAGGGCAATCCACAATTCAAAAATCTAGCTTCCCGCCCCCACGAGCCCCAGGGGGCCCCAAGAGTGCCCCAACAGGCCGCCAACGGCCCTCAAGAAACCGCCAAGACGCCCCAAGGAGCCCACAAGAGGCCCCCAGGAGGCCCCCAAAAGACCCCCAGACGCTTCCGCATTGCGAGCCGTCACGCCAACTGCAATGCACCCCGCGCATACAACCTTACTCTTCCTCGCGACGTGCTCACTATCTTGCTCGGCGCTACTGTGCTGCTGCCGCGCGAACTGTTTCGTGCGCGCTGCGAACGTCAACGGCCTCTTCACCCGTTTCGATTCATCTGCCACATCTTTCGCTGTGATGCTTCGCTGATCACAGCTTCCACACATTACTCTTGCTCCTTTCGTCTTCCCGTGCTCCTCCACTTGGTTGCGGGTCGAAAAGCCGACCTCCCAGAAGGACACCCCGCGCCCGGGTGCACAGCACGCAAACATTTGGACCCCCTACGTATCTGCCACCACCCGCGCGCGACACCGCACCCTCAAACAAGACGCCGCTGGCCAGAAACTCCTGGCCTCGCAACACTCACAGAAGGGGTCGGCGGATGTGGCGTAAGCCTGTAGAGTCCTTCGTGGACGGGCTGGTGTGAACAACGATGTTCACCAGCGTGGACCCCAAACGATAATTTATTGAACCATGGATGTGTAAGCTTTGTGATGCAATCTACGTGTTGTAAGCTATGTGCAAACTACGTGGTTCAGGCTACGAAGGGTACGACATTTGGTGCGTTCGACGGCCCCCCTTGCGCGGTGGGTGGCAAAGTGGAGGCATCGGGCGGCGACGCGGCGAAACTTCGACAGACCCCCCAAATTGGCGGCAATGAGGCGGCGGCGCGGCGACACCTCGACATACCCATCACATTACTTAGCAAGACACATCCATTGGGTGCAAGCACTGCGATGTGAATTGCACAAGACTAATAAGCAGAAGCTCTCGGGAGCCCGCGTCTGCGATGGGCCAACCTCCCCAGCGCACGGAAGTGTCGCGCGACAGTGGGGTCCAAACCTCGGGCGACGCCAACAGAGGGTCTAACGCCGACCCCAAAAATCCGCGCGGACCTCCGAACATTCACGTGCATGCCGCTTTTTGCCTTCGACTTGTGGGAATACTTTTTTGGTTCGCGACTCCAAGGCGAGGGACAGGGAGCGGGCACAACGTCCGGGGCGCGGTACGGTGTAAATTGGCGCGAGATTGCCGCAGACTCCAGCGGGCAACACACGCAAAGGCGCATGCACATGCCAGGGACAAAATGCCCATCATTGAGACGCAAACCAGCGTCGGCAGGTGACCGGCCCAGACATCCCGGCAGGTGGGGAAGCAATGGCGCGGCGACCGGCAGCGGAACGGGGGGGAGAAATCGCCCTTGCGGCGCCAAGCTCCAGCCGAACCGCATTCGGAAGCGAGGCCAAGACGGACAGCGGGGCACTGTAAAAGCCGCAGGCAGAACGCGGATCCGGATGGCCAATGACCAGGCGAAGCCCACGTGCGTGCACACAGGGACAGGCCGTCGAAGACCTCGGAAAGACTTGTGGGAATACGCGAAGCATCACGATCTTCTCGAGGCACACTCAACGGTGCTAATCAGGCATTGGTATGCCGTTATCCATGTCGGCGTCCTGGATATGAGCACCGCGCACACTCCTCGTGGCACCACCCAATGTATAGCCGCGTCATGCAGGCCCGTCCCCTTCTGATGCACCTACAACTGCCCACGCAAGCCAGCGCTGGCGTCGCTGATGGTTTTCTCTCTGGCGACTCCGTTGGTTTCCATCCGGCCCCTTGGCCCGTCTCGCTGGCAGGCGCATTGGCGAGCTGGTGGGGCGCTGCTGGCATACGAGAAAGAAGGAGAGAGGGTGAGAGGCAAAGGAGGGAAGAGGGAAGAGGAGCAGGAAGTGGTGAGCAACAAGAGGAGCAGGAAGACGGGAGAGGGAAGAGGAGCAGGAAGAGGAGAGGAAGAGGAGCAGGAAGAGAGGAGTGGAGGGGGAGGCACACGAGGGAAGGGGAGCAGGAAGAGGTGAGCGACAAGGACGAGGAGGATGATAAAGAAATGATGTCGGGGAGGCAGCAGAACGAGGACGACTGACCGAGAGACTGACGCGCTTTGACCCGCCGGGATGCCCGAAGTAGACTAGAACCACACAAGTCCAGAAAAGCTGGTGCGCTCCTCATTGGACCCTGGGAGGACGAGGCGGATGGAAGGCCCTCGTGCTGGCTCAAGTACGCTCCCGCTGCAGCGTGCCCTGGGTTCGGGGTCTCAAATGTGGGCTCCTGAAGGACCTGGATCCCTTCCTATCCTCCGGTCCCCAAGCCGTCAGGACCCCAACTCTGCGCCACTCACGGGTGGCTTGGCCGCCGGCGCGCCCACACCCATGCCGCCCGCATCCCCGGAGAGGCTGGACGCAGAGCGGAACACAGAACGCGGCTGATCGGGGCGGACGAACAGTGACTACAGTCAAAACGTTTATTAAGAACGGGTGGTAAGGAAGCAAGACCCTTGGAGGCCGAAGTTGGATTTTTGGGGCGGGGGGCGGCCAGTGAAAACGGCGAAGGACGGGCCGCAGAGGCAAGGACTCAAGGGCACCCTAGATGAAGGCACGCGTCCTTACTAGGCGCGTTGACTGTACCTACAAGACCACCCCAACCCAACCCAACCCGAAGACCCGAATTTCGGGGTGGGGGGGGTATGGGCTCCGTGTGTTTCTCAAATGTTCCCCGACCCCCCCCCGCTGGAAGTGGAGGGCAAACTGAGGCCTTCGGGCTGGGCTGGGGTGGCTTGGTGGGCG